CTGCATCTGCCTACACTAGTTGGCTCTTTTTTACCTGACATAACAGCCTGTGATCGGGGCCCCACATACACACTCGCTCACAACAGAAACAATGCGACCATAAGCAGATGGCCCAGGAGGGAGCCTGAGGCACTCCAATCCTGAGCTGACAAAGCCGAGTAGCAGCGGTTCCCTCCAGGGGCCGCCCACAAGCCTGACTAACACAGGGTGAAAACAGCTCCACTCCTGTTTGCTGACTGCCTTGTTTGGCCGAAACAATAACTAGGGCATGGCCCGGCCTCTCTTTACAGGCGAGTTGGATCATTCCTCTTGAGTGCGTATGTACAGTGGGAAGCAGCTTGCATTTCAGTGACGGGTGGAGAGATCCACATGAGGGGGGCTGGTTATCCGGCCGGAGAGGGGGCTGGCGTTAAGGGAAAGGGTGAAGTGCAGTTCAGCTGCTATTATAGATGCCATGTCATTTAAACTCGTGGTCTTTCCTGTACTATGGTCCAAGGAATGAAACACCAGGCAGGATACGTGGGCCCAACAATCCTGATACTCATAAATCTGTGTGACGAAGTACAGAATCTGCAAAGTGGCCTTAATAAAGCTTTTAATGACCAAAGCTGCAGAGCACTCTGACCCTATGCACACAGAGATATCCACTTTCAAACAATGAGCAATGCAAAACGCCTAGGAAAAGCATATTGCTGCAAGACAAATAGCGGAATCCAAATCTACAGAAATAATAAATCCTGAAAAACAACTTTAGATTGTGAGGACAAAATCCGTATTCATAACAAATGAGTATTCAACTAGGGCTGGCACGAATATTGAAAAAAACTGACATTGCGATATTTTTTTCCCCTGCGATATATATTGCTATACTATATTTAACCGGATGAAGGATTTTAGTCACGGACGTCTGGATCTTAACTGGTTGACTCAATCATACCTTAAGTCATGATCTAACATGTCATGATAATGCATGTTGCTTACCCTCAAATAAGGGGGTTCATCTGTGAATGAAGAAGAGAAGAACCTTTTTGTATCCAAAATAGTTCCAGATGGCAGATGTTGCTTTTCTTTTTGGAAGTAAATCTTCATTCTCTCCGGTTTTGTCCTCCTGTGCCTCGCTAATTTTTTTACCGGTGTTTTGATGGTCTGCAAACTAGCGGGGCGGGGCCTGCTGTGATCTGATCAAGAATGATTGTGATTGGTGGTTTGCTGTGCATGCAGAGCCTGCATGTCACTCACTCAAGTACCCTTGACATGAGAGCCGCGCACGTTTTCCTTTTGTAGCAAGCAGCAAAAATAATTGTAACATGACGTGTTTGAGTTAATTTACCTACTTAATATTGCATGTCAGAATTATTATAAAAAATTAATAAAATCGCACGTCCCTGCGATGTGAATATCGCGCATGCGCATATCGCGGTTATCGCCATGACACGATATATTGTTCAGCCCTACACAGAGGCATTAAAATCAATTTTCAAAATGCTCAACAGTTCTGCCAACATTATAAACTGACAATTAAAATAAATGCTTTTATACATTTCTATTAGATATGACTCTTTCGCGTTTCTGTTATTAACTGCTTTAGTTGTTCTGACTGCTAAAATCCTCTGTTATTCCTCATTTTAAAGCCGATATTCCGTGGGGTGGGGGGCTCGGATCCTTATCACCTTTTTCATACCTGATGAGTTTGCATCCTGTTGGCACCTTTATTTCCCCCAAGGTGGAAAAGGAAAAGTAAGAAGAAGATGGGGAATAAGAGAGACGATTAGAGAAGCGCATTGTAGACAGATACAGACGGAAGGAAGAAAAAGTTGCGTGCAGAAGAAGATTCATATTCCTGCCAATGGAGCAAACCGCTATTGATCTATTATCCACACAGCAAACGCCTCCTTCACTTCAAAGAGCGGGACTCAGTGTGTTTGTGAGCGAGGTGAAAGAAGAATGTGTTTATGACAGTTTGGCTGATTAAGGTGCCAGCAGTAAGGAGGAAGTTTAGAAAGAAAGAGTGGGAGATAAAATGATTTATGGCAGATCTGAACGGAGAGATAAATGACAGGAGGAATATCAGATTGCAACAAAACAGAAGAACAATAAAGCAGGTGATTAGTGTAGAGAGTGGGGGGGGGTGGAGATGAGAGGATGTGATATCTTGAGACGCTGCTGTTTCCCTTTCACATAGAGGACACACGGTGACGATTGTGCACCGCTCCCAGCGTGTGTTGTGTGGCAGAAGTGATGACTGTATGTAAACGGTGCTCTGGTGGAGTTGTGTGTCTGCGAGTTGTCGTGAAGTCGTTGATCACGCAGCCGTATCGCTGCTCTAAATCTGCAGCTGCATATTCCGTTTCATCCGCTTTCTGCTCCCGTTATATTTCTCCTCATCTTCCTCTCCGTCTTATCGTTATCTTGTCTTTCACACACTTTTTTATCCTCCAGACTTTCTGCCAGTGAAATCCTCCAATGAGTTTCGGTTTAACCCACTTTTTGAACATATTTGGAGTAGGTCTATAAAGACTTGTTTGAGTATCAAATGACCAACATCCTGCAGGCTTCAAAGAGGGATTGACACACCATGGCAGCTGTGTTTCCATTGGACACTAACAGAGACCATGTTTCACCTGTTGGGGGGGAGAAAAGTGTCATGATATCCCCTGAAAGATCTCGTCCTCAGTTTGTTTGACTCAGATATCAGAGCAGATGCTTGTGTTGTTTGGTGTGTAAACCTGAAGCACGTTTTAGTCATGTTAGTTTGACCATTGTTCATCCACTGAATGAATCTGGTTTATTACACCCAGTATAAAAGGATTTAGCTGTGATTTAATTACAGTTATCTGATCAGAAAATTATCGGAATAGCTCATAACCATTCCGGCTTTTGAAAAGTCTGAATTCATGCTTTGTCAGGACTCTACGCAGGAAAATAATCACTACTTCAACATGTTGTGCTGAATTCAGTTTGGCAGTGATGTTGCAGTTTATACACAGACTCTAGACTGTATCGATCAACTGTCTAACTTAAACTTATATACCCTCCGTGGCAGCGTATCAGTGGACAGTAAAGATATGAGTTGCTGTCTGGGAAGTATTGGTATTTGTTTTTAACTAAGAAGCAAACGGCAGCATTTTGCTCCAGAAAAGCCAGCCGTAGTTTGTGTGAAATCTTCCATCTGCTGCATTATATCAACAATTCTCACATCCTCAATGCAATAATTTGTTATGTTTGCTTTTCAGTGACCAATGGGAGTTATTCTTACATGGACGATGACGAGGATGCAGAGCTGTACGGTCATGAAACAGAGTTCAGCAGCTCCACCCAACACTCCTATCTGCACGAGAGGTGTGTGGTTGTCAGTGACTTTTCTTATACAATAGCTATACAGAGTGTTTTACATATGAATGAAGTGATTGACTAGAACAACATTTGTCATCTAAAGTCTTCCCCTTTGGTCTTAGCCGTTTATATTATTATGTATTAACACTATCTTCTATACTGACTACTCAAAATGAGTCTAGTTTTGTAATGACAAGGTGTGTTTATTTTTGCACTAAATGTGATTGTTAAAACACTTGTGTTAAATATAAATGTCAAACATTTGTTATTTGTGGTTTTAAATGTTACATTATACTGTAGCTGGGATTTTAACATAAGCGAGAACCCATCAACCACTGATGCGGGATTAGCATTCTGTTTTGCATTTCTTCTGCCTGAGGGTCACACAAAATGAATTCATTTCAAAGATAACATCAACTACGTTCTAAATTAAAAAGATAGTCACCAGTAACACGCCTCAAGGGTGGAGAAAACAAGTCTGTAAATAATGTAATTTCCACAATAAACAACCATCTACCTACAGCTTTTTCTGTAGTGACTGTCTAATTATTTGTTTCCAGGGAAAACTCTCACAGCTCGAGCCAGGCTCAGCCCCAGTCTCCCGCCCAGAACCAGAACCAGCAGCAGTACCAGCACGTGAAAGCCTCCAAGAGCATGGACCTGGGTACGACTCAGAACCAGCAGCACTCTGGTGGGGTGATTTATCTCAGTGTATCTGCTCTGCATGGTGGCTGCATGCATCCCAGCCTCACAGAAAGTCCTGCTGATGCATGGCTGCTGCACGGACGGCATGCTCCTCCAAGCCACATGCAGACTGTAAACACTCACTGAAAGCTACACATGCGGGGGGCAACACTTTACGCATGTTGCATGGAGAGACACAGTGATGCTATTATTATATTTGTGCATATGTTTTACATTCATTTAAACACATAAGTATTTCATATATAGCTTATTTCTTTAGATAGTTTTGCGAAACTTTTTTTTTAGATTCATACTGTATGGAACACAACATATTAGTTTGTACATTAATGCATATTTTAATTGACATTTATATTTAAATCCCAAATATATATTTTTCATATTAAGACTGATTTGATCTCATTAGAAGACCACTCTGATCTTTCTGTAGGAACATCAAGCCGTGACCCTTTTTTCATCTATAACTGCGGTTACATAGCAACTCCGTCTCGTTCAACTATTTTTTGTTTATCTAAAAGAAAAGAAAAACATGTCTCCGTTTGCGTCACAGGACTTTCATTCATCTTCATTGTTATCTGTTATTTATTCATGCAAAAAAAAAAAGATGAATTCTAAGACTTCTGTCATCCCGCTCTCCACGTCAGCTTTGTCACCTGTTGCTCTCTGATTAGTGAGGCGAGGGTTCACTGACATTTCGGTAATTGTTTAAAAGTCAACTTTAGAAATATGCCTATGTCTGTGCTCATGCATACATCTGTGTAATATGACAGTGGATGGTGCAGCACAACAAAAGCTTATTGTTTAAAATGTCACTTCCCTCAGTCCTCCTCCTCCAGCCGGTTCCGCTGCGAGTGTGTGTGTTTGTGTCAGAGGGAGAAAATGAGACAAAAGAGCAGAATTTAAGCGGCAAAGACACCAATTTCTACATTAATAACCCACTGATGGTATGTACATCATCCCCTTTGTATGCTAAACACTTGATCGTCAGTAAATGTTTCACAAACAAATATGGATTTAATTCATGATTGCTTGAATGGCATGACGTGTTTTATTGCCGAAGCGTTGCGAGAAACACAATTTCTTGAGGCTAAGATTTTGGTTTGTATCCAGTTATTGTTTTGAGGGCAGGACCTTACATCTTTCGGGATAAACCTTTCGACTTTATCCTAAAGACCTATCAGATCCCCCTCTGCTTTGTTTATAATCCCAGCCTGCCCTCTGACTGTATAAAGTTAAAGAGAACATATCCTTTACAAACAAGAAAAGAATGCTGCAGCTAGGAGGGTGATTGAAACTTAGATGAAACAAAACATGGCAGTATCAGCTTATTTTTTAAAAGGATAGCTTGTTAATTGTGACAGTGTTGTTGCGGAAGGTCTGTAAACCCTGCAGTGCTCTGTGGGGACCCTAAATTGCTAATCTGACATTTTTTGATATTTAAAGTAAAGACAATTACAGAAAAAGCTGTTTCTACCTTCTCTAATATAAATACATTGTATGCTTTTTATTGTTAGAAGGACAATCATTGCATTTTGGACTGACAAAAAAAACATTTAAAGAAATTATTTTGAGAATCCAGGATGAATATCATTACCTAGTGATTATAGACAAACACTTGAATCCTATATTTGAACAATGTCATAAGAAAGTAATAGTCTTTTGCAGCCCTTATGGGACCTCTTTTTGTTCAATGTTTAGACTTAACTCAAGTACTGCTTGAATGACCACAGGATATTCACCATTGGTATGTTGCTAATGAGGTGATCAAGTAAGCTACCTTTAGCATCAATTAGCAAGTGGTTCTTTGTCAGCATACTTCACTCTGCGTATGGAACCATATGCAAATCAAATTTGGCTCATTAGTAATGTAGGGAAATGCAAATTAAAATCATATCTGCGACACATGTGGTATAAACATGACATTCCTGTCCTGTGCATTTCCTGAGTGACATGTTTTTTTAAATACCTACACAGAGATACTCCCATCAAGGTCAAATAGTCTGTTTCTTGTGCCATTGTAGTGGGTTTCAGAATGTAAAGTTGGACAGGTACAAATAAGTGGAATAATTATTTAAAATATGCTTTGAACTGCTTTACATTTTTTCCCATTCTCATATTCTTACTATATCTCACCTCCGATAAGGGACTGCTGATTAGTGCTGTATAATTACTGCATGAGATCATTTCAGTAGAGTGTAGTAACATTAACACAGTGTGTGTGTGTGTGTGTGTGTGTGTGTGTGTGTGTGTGTGTGTGTGTGTGTGTGTGTGTGTGTGTGTGTGTGTGTGTGTGTGTGTGTGTGTGTGTGTGTGTGTGTGTGTGTGCGCGTGCGCATGCGTTTTAGG